AAATAATATATATCTTTTATATATAAAAAATCTGTATTTAAAAAAAAAATCGATCCACTGTACTATAAAGTTTTAGAGAGTTCAGATAGCATTCCTACTGCAAACCATGAATTTTGTCTGGAGCTGAAATTTAAACAGTTGAGACCGTTCCTGTCAGTTTTTCATGAGAATTGCAACTAATTGAGAAGAATATATTTAAAAAATCGTGCTTTCCCTTCTTTCCTGTCTGATGAGTAAAATCCTAAGAAAGGTCTGATTATTATTGTCATTTACCTTTACCTAGTGAGGACTTCTGCATTGCCAGCTCTAAGTGAGGAAAATATTCTCAACTTGACCATTTCTTTACCTGAAGTTGCACCTTCATTCCAGGATCTGTTTTTCCCTCTTGTAAACTGTGTGAATCTGATTCTTATGTTGATTTATTATTAGAATTTTTTGTATCAGTCTAATAGTGTGAAGGTGCCTTAGTGTAAGTATAAATGAGTTCTTGAGTGCTCATATATGTAATTAATATTTGAGGCTTATTTTTAGCCTTTTTTTTTCCTACTGTATTGTTGACAATACAGAAAAATATCCAAACAAAATTCATTTTAGTGTCTTTCTTTACCCACTCAGGGATTATGAAACTTGACACTGTAGGTTGCACTTTTCATGTTGAAACACTCCTTGCACATATGAGCCTTCATTTAGATATCTTACACATGGTGTTATTACGAACAGTGCTGGACTGCAGATGAGAGCATTCATATTCTAGCACAAAAAAAACCTTTACAAACTTAATGTTATATTGAACAGAAAATCAGTTCGAATGTGGTAAGTAAATATTTCAGACTGCTGAGAATCTCCCTGGAAATTCTGCCCTGGAAAATGAGAAAATGTTAAGAGGAAGAAGTCTGCACAGCAGCCCTGCTGTGCAACAGGTCGTTTATCTGTTTATGTATTTGTGAAGCAGTACTATGCCATGTCAAGAATGAGCAATGCATTTATATTTCCATGAGTTTGGGGGAAACACATTACTTTGGAATTACAAAGTCAAGGCAAAGAGAAGCATGTTCTTGTTTAGTGATGTGAGAGGTAAGCTGATGTGAGACATTAACTTGGAGCTTTTTTTAAAACTTGGGCACCAGAAGTTTAAATTGCAGCACGTGAAAAGCGAATTTAAGACTAATTGATTGGGCACATTTCTTTTCTGACTTAAGTATAAGTGTCTGTTTCTCTTTCATAAGTGACTTCTATATATCTAGGAGTCAGTTTTATTGACTTCTGAATCAGCAAGATAGTGTTTCACTGAACAGAGAAATGCCTGACTACCTTCAAAATGTTCAGCTTTAAAGTCTTGTAAATGTTCTTCAGAAATGTTATTGTAGTTCCAATTTTGGATTATTTTCTGTAGATGAAAATATTTTCAAGTTATTCACTGAAAAGCTTTTTTTCCATTTTCCTGCTCTGCTGCTTTGGTAACATTTGTGCAATAACTGTCGTTTCTTGCTATTGCAATGTGTTTTCAATGGTTGCTGGGAACAGAAGAGAGCCAGGAGCTACCATCATCCAGATTTTGCTGGAAGAGTAAATTTGTTGATGGCAAAATTTTGGTAGACTTAACTAGTTTGAGTTTGCTGATGCTTGTATATGTGTTGAGTATGTGTATGTTGAAAAATATCCATACCTAAGGCAATATGGTTTGAATTTTTTTTTAGCCTTTGAAGAAATGCATTATTCTTTTGCTTGTTTAATATTGCTGTTATTTGCTTTTCCATTTTGTTTGTTTAACATTGCTAATGTTATTTGTTATTTCTTTTTGTTGTTATAAGACATTTTCATCAGTTTAATTCCGTGAACTCCTTGAGACGTTTATATAAAAATTACTAGTGAGTTAATCTATGTCTTATTTTTTGGATTTTTTTCCTCCAAAAAATAGTTGAACATCTGTAGCTGTACTGCCTTTTGCTGCCTTTCTCTTCCTCAAAGATATCTAACTTAATTGTTCTGGTTGTAAAAGTATCATGGAATCCATCCACAATGTTAACATTGTAGTGCTCATATTGTTACGTCTGCTAGTTCCTTAACTTGAAAGAAGTAGTTTGCATTAGTAAGATTTTCATGAATACTGGTGGAAATTTTGTCTTTAAATATTTCCCCTTTCTTTCCTTGTAACCCATTAGAACAAAAACAGATCCATATTTCTAAAAAAGTGTCCCAGAAACATATTTGTCACAGCAGAAGATCATCTCCTTTGTTTCTAATTACTATGTGTATATTCACATTTTAGTGATATTCCACGGATTCCCGAGACTTCTCACCCCCCGTTAGAGTCTAGTGAGTACATACCTCGTTCTTTTCACTAACCATGGTCTTGTAGCCAGCACAACCGTTTTGCCTGTGAATTTTCTGAGATGAGCACTGGGAGACCGCGTTGGCTCCCAGGTTTTTGTATGACAAAATTGAATGGGTTCTGGTCTTGTGTGTTTAATTTGAAACAATATAGATTTAGTTAAATCGAATTTCAAATCAAAGATTTCAAATGTTAGCAGGATTTTATTGTTTTCTTGTAGATCTTATGTTGTTAGTGCCATACTGGTATATACACTGTGGCCCAAAACAGTCATTTACTTGCCCTAACATAAGAGAGAAAACAGGTATAAGAGATTGCCAAAGGTACAAATGGTGTCAGTATTTCACCTCCTATACCATCCAGTTTAAGTCCAGAGTTCTTGTTTCTCTTTTTCTTAACCAGAAAACATTAATTAGGTGAATTTTTTGTGTATTGTGCTTTAAAAAAGCAGTTTTCTTTCTAACAGTCCTATTTGAATGGTGTCAGCTACAGTGTGTGAAGGCCATGGATCCCAGTCCTTTCTTATCTGAGATGCAACCAGAAACCTTCTCTGTGACAGTCTTGTTGGGCCACTGAGTGCTGTTACACTTGTCACGAGCTCATCTCATTAGTTAGGGCTCTGCTTTTCTGGTGGAGAACTGCTGATGTTCAGCAGGTACCGGAGCATCCTCCATGTCAGATGCATGTCCTGCGTACCTTTCTGTGTGCCAGTTCCTTGGGAGATAAAATTTCAGAGGCTAATGGGAGTATAATCCATACAACAGATGTGGGTTTATTCACCAAAGATTTGAGATCATAGAATCATAGAATAGTTTGGGTTGGAATGGAAATGTGTAATTCTGTCAGAGAACAATATTTTATTTAGAACCGTTGGTATGGTTTGTCACTGCTATATGAGCAGCACAATGCAAAGAACAAGAATTCATAAGTTACCCAAATTCACTTCAAAGCTTTGGACGGAAAGTTCATGTGTTTCTCATTTATTTTTAGGTTCAAGTTCTTTTGAATCTCAGAAGATGGAAAGGCCTTCTATTTCTGTTATATCTCCAACCAGCCCTGGAGCCCTACGGGATGCACCACAAGTCCTACCAGGGCAGCTTTCTGTGAGCATATTTTGTTTTTCCTGAGTTGTTAATGAAAATCTGTTGAAGTGCTGGTTCCTCAGCCCTCCACATTCCCAAGGTCTATTAGGAGGTCAAGAGAAACATCTGCTGGTGGTAAAGACTAATATCTTTCAAATGTTTTTAAGACCCCCTGTACACACTCACAAACCATCCCTGTAATCACAGCAGAGGTAGTTGTTGCCTTAATGCACCAAAGAGTGCAGGAATTTGCATTGAGAGGAGCCCGTCAAAGTGCCTTGTAACTTATCATCCTGTACCCTCAATTTGGAGATGCTGACTCTTCTGTACATGGCCAGTAATCCACACAGATAAGTAGCATAGTACCCCTTAATCTTCTTTATGGGAACATTTAAAGAGGTGTGTATTTGTTAAGTTACACTGTTCAGTAATGCATTTTAATTTAGATACACATTAGATCCTGGAGCTGTCTGTAATAGTAAATGGAGCTGTGCTTGTTAAATACACTGTGAGTACTTAGACTTTGTTTTGTACATTCTTATATTTTGTTATATTCATCTTATTAATTTGTAAGTCTACAGCAGGCTCAAAAAATTCATAATGTTACAGTTTCTCTTAAGAAATCATTTAGCTGTGTATTATACTTTTCATACCAACATTTGCAAGGTGACAAATCAGGGTAGATAGATTTCAACTATGCCTCAAGTTTAGCTGCAGTCAGGGCTTCCTATTTGAATGTAGCTTTTAAGATGCAGAGCTAAGACGTGCTGGTTTAAATGCACTCACAGATACAAGATTATGCCCCGAGTACAGTAAACAATGTAAGTATAATCAGGCACCAGCATTTTAGTCTGCTGCGGTAAATACAAAAGTCTTTGGTATATACCATCATCTTTTCCATCTGACTTGATTAAATATTAAGAGATTTGAAATAAAGTATATCTCATTGTCTCTTGGAAAAAGCAATGGTTACTTTTAAGTTGTGGTTAATGTAATGCAGTCTGAAAATTCTGATTTTTCTCCATTTGCAGTAATGTTTTCTGGTAACTTGATTCTTGTAGGTTAAACTGTGGTACGACAAAGTGGGACATCAGTTAATAGTGAATGTTTTACAAGCAACAGATTTGCCACCAAGAGTAGATGGACGCCCCAGGAATCCCTATGTAAAAATGTATTTTCTTCCAGACAGAAGGTAGCAGTATTTCAGTTTAGAAAATTATGTATTGAATCAACTTTTAAATGAATGCTTATGAAGTAAATAATTCATTTTTATAACTCATTATAGTTAGATTAATTATAACAAAAAATTGTGCTTGAATCGTGCAAGTCAGTGTCAAATTAACTTTGTGGAGTTTTGGATGAATGTGATCCACTGTACAGCAAATACTTTTCTTTTTTAAACGTTACCAGATCAGAAAGAATGAAAACATTAAGTTCTGATGAGTAGATGGCGTTTTGTGATTTATCTCTATGGACAATTTACAACAAATATTTATGTTTCAGCGATAAGAGTAAAAGGAGGACCAAAACAGTAAAGAAAAGTCTAGAGCCAAAATGGAACCAAACTTTTCTCTACTCACATGTACATCGTAGAGATTTTAGAGAACGAATGCTTGAAATAACCGTATGGGATCAACCAAGAGTACAAGAAGAAGAAAGTGAATTTCTTGGAGAGGTGATACATACAGTCACATTTCTCCCGAGTTCATTGTTTGATTTTGAATACATGTACATATATATTTTATATATGTTTTTGCGTATGTGTGCCGTGAAAGTAAAATTAAAACCTGATAATTTTTCTACTAGATTCTTATAGAGCTGGAGACAGCACTTTTAGATGATGAACCACATTGGTATAAGCTACAGACACATGATGAATCTTCACTACCTCTGCCTCAGCCATCACCTTTCATGCCAAGAAGACATGTTCATGGTGGAGAAAGCACTAGCAAAAAATTACAAAGTAGGTCCCAATTCCATTCATCTCTTTTAAATTTTAAAGTAGAAATGCTGGATATGGTGTAATGGTATTTAAGTTTCAAATATAAGATAAAAATACTGTTTCATAGTCTTTGAACATAATGAAAATGTGTGGCAGAGAAGAAATGCAAATTATGACATTATGATGTGGCAGCTTTTCACCTGTGATGCATAACTTTCAAGTACGTGAAACCTGTTGGAATTGGTTTGGTTTTCACTAACAAAACAAAATTGTTCAAACATTTGTTTGCATAAATTTCCTTTTAAATAGAAAGATGGGGTTCATCATTATTCGATACTTTTTTTTAATATTTAAAAGCTTCTTATTTAAAAACAGAAAGTCCTTAAAGACTTGCGAGGCTTAAAAACACTTTTCATCATAAAGTTAGTCTCAACCTCCAATATACATTCAGATGAGAAGTGTCTTTTGCAGCAAGGAGAAATTATATGTGTTTATTTGGGAGGTACAGTTGTTTTGATGAGTCTGATATAAGGTTTGTATGAGGCATATTAAAATAATGAATATATTGAAATATTTGAATATTGTAGCTTCTCTGTTCATTTAAAGTAATTAAAGATTTATTTAGAAATAAGAAGGATGTAGGGAATTATTTTAAAATATGTTTCAAAGCTATTTTTCTGATTTTTCTTAAACATGAAAGTCATTCATTCCAGCCAATGTGTAGGAAATTGGTGCACATTCAGGAATGAATTATAAAAATGTGATACTGCTGTAATTGCTGCGTGAGGATATGTATAGAGAGAGCAAATTAAAGGTTAGTTTTCAGGAAATATTTGAACTTTTTTAAAAGCTGGCAGTGCTGTTTCCTTTTCCCCTCTCTCACCATATGCTGCCACCTCTCCTTTCCTGTTCAGCAAGCTGACTCAGCTTACTCACTGAAATAGCACAAAAGTGGGGGTTTTTTTTCTTTATTTGAGTTAACTTTTTGCTGGTTTAGTGAGATAAACTATGCTGGCAGAGGATTACTGAGGACTCGAGGGAAGGAGAAGGGGAAAGGAGGCTGCAGCAGCTGTAAGACATTAAATTGGCTCAGCTGTCTTGTGAGGCATCAGTGTCAGTTACTGCAGTTTTCAGTTCTCCTCCTCTGTTGTTTAGACTTAAAATCATCTTTTTAATTTCAGTAGTATGTTAAATGAACATATATTTACGTTTGATAACACGACCAGATGTTCAGGTATTTGTTTACCTTACTGTTGTGCAGGATCTCGGCCAATCAGTGATAGTGACATCTCAGATTATGATGTTGATGATGGTATTGGAGTTGTTCCTCCAGGTGCGTGGGTGAACAGCATGGTCCTGCTTTCTTCTTCTTCTTCTTTTTTGCTTGTTTGTTTTTTTTTTTTCTTTATAACATTTTGGAATATTGAGGATACTGGTTTCGGAGAGTGCATTGTGAAAAAAACGGTTTTCCTGATTATTCCGTTACCTGTCCTAAGTCATGGTCAATTACAAGATTCTACTATTCATTCATTGATATTTCTTTTACATACCATTCTTCATATGTGAACCACTGGATGGTTCACATTATTTAATTGTTTACTGCATAATGTTCCAAGCATTATTTAAAATATAAATCAAATTTTAAACATAATTTAAAAATAGTAATTAAGATTTCAGTGTTGATTGCAAGGTTTTTTTTATTTTGTTTTTTGCTTGAAACTTAGATATAATGCAATCTCCCATGGACTTTATTGAGAATGCATGGCAGTAGATTAAGATGCATGCAGCATGGCTATATCTTTTATAGTTTTCATAAGCCTTCATGAACTATCATTACCCTAAATGTTCATAAATGCATACTTGTAGACATTATCATGGTTTGACTTTTAGTTCAGCATTCCTTACATAACTGAAAATCTAGAGGATCATTATGGATACCACATTTTTTTACTTCTATTCAACTATTGCCACAAGTCAGATGAATATGTTTCCCAATTGTCCCAAACTAAGTGAAGAGTCACTATGCCATTGCCAGCACTAAATCAGTTTTTCTGAGGAACTCCCTCATGAAAATCGCTGAATTAAATCATGGTGGGATTTGGAAAGCTTTCTATCTTCCTGATCTGTGTTTAAAATAATCTGACAATTTATTTGTTCAGTATATAACCTTACAAATAACTCACATATTTTATTAACCCAATATCATTTTGGTTACTGAGCCAAATTCTCCTTCCTTTGATGTCGATTGAGTTCTTTCCTTACTTTAATACAGTTACCATCTAAGTTACTGAGAGGGAAATTTGTTCAGGTTGGTCTAGTAAAAATGATATTCGCTTTACTGAAGTGATTAATGTTGATATTTTTACATCAGCTGAGAGAGTGAACATTTAAAATTAAAATAAATTATAGGTTCTAAATATTTTTCCTGTTTATTAATGAATTTTTTTAGTTGGCAACATAGATACTGGCATGTCTGTATAGACTTAAGTTTAAGGTTTCAGTATACTATACGAAGAACTGGGGCTTTTTTTCAGCTGCCAGTTCTTCAAGGCATCCATTTGCTCTTTGAATTAAACCGTTTTCCTTCTGACAGGAAACATTCAAAAATATTCAGCTGAATGCATTGGACTCTATTCACTGGGTCAGCACTTGAGTAACTGATTCTTATGGAAATTTCTTGGGACTGTGCATGCTCAGGTGCGCCTTTGAGGAATGCATGGGTCCAGGCTTTCTTAGAGATCACTAAGGCTGAAAGAGTTGGGGCTCTTCAGCCTGGAGAAGAGGAGGCTCCGGGGTGACCTTATAGCGGTCTTCCAGTACCTCAAAGGGGCCTACAAGAAAGATGGGGAGAGTCTGTTCAGGAGGGCCTGTTGTGATAGGACAAGGGGTAATGGTTTTAAAATAGAGGGAGGTAGATTCAGGTTGGATATTAGGAAAAAATTTTTTACCATGAGAGTTGTAGAACACTGGAACAGGTTGCCCAGAGAGGTGGTGGATGCTCCATCCCTGGAGACGTTCAAGGCCAGGTTGGACGAGGCCCTGAGCAACCTGATCTAGTTGGAGATATCCCTGTTCCTTGCAGGGGGGTTGGACTAGATGACCTTTGAAGGTCCCTTCCAGCCCTAACCATTCTATGATTCCATGATTCTATGATCACTGTAGAAAATGGCAAGATCTGATCTATAGCAATAGGATTTACAATGAGCTGAGACTCTCTAAACTGAAACTCAAAGGGCCTGGTGAGGAAACTCCTTCTGGAGTCCATCTAATCAGAAACAATCTGTCGGCTGACCTGACCAAGCACAAATTCTTGTCCTTTGAGTTTAATGGATATATTTGTTTGGCAATTGTGAGTTGAGTTCTTCTGTTTGTGATTCATATGTGAAGTGGATGTACATAGAAATGTGGAGATTTTGTTTGCAGGTGCAACCTAATTCTTAAAAGGTCTAAAAAGTCTGCTGAATTACTTGAGAATCTTAGGCACAGATTCACGAACTGCCTGGGCACCAAGTTCAGATATGCATTTCTACCTTCCCATCCAACCTTCCTTACTTATCACATGGCTAAATCATCTAAGACTTTGGGCTGCTACCTTCATTTTCACTGAATGAATAGTACTGTATCTTCTCCATCTAGCAGTCTCCTCTGTTAAAACTAAGTTGCATGCAAGTTTCTTCTTGTGCTGCAGGGTCTTTACCCCTTCCCTCCTACTGCCCCACAACACCATGGACCTCACCAGAGTGCACTGCAGCTCTTGTCTGGTCCCGATTTCCCACTCATTCTCCTGCAAGGTATGCGTGTGGGAGGGAACGATGGATATCGGTATTTCCCCATAATGTAGGATGATGATGCAGCTCAGGTGCACTCTCAGACCGTTTTGGCATAGCCTCTATTGGCATCACCTAGATTAGTCTAGATATTCTTTCTCAACAGAAGAAAGAATATCAAAATAGAGTTTACAACATGATACAAAAGGAAATGTTTCCTTTTAAAGCCCCTTTTCCTTCCTTTACCACTTCCTTGTGAATGTTACCCACTGTGGTGCTTATATATGATAAATAAGCTCTGTCTTTACTAAAGGTATATTCTTACAGTTGTTAATTTATTCCTTTTCTCGAAATATTCAGAAGAGAAGGAAGTTATTTTGCCTTCTTAATATCTCAAGATTTTCACAAAGATTATTGCTTATTTTCTAAAAAACAGACACATAACTGCAAAATGTAGAAGCACGAAAGTTCACTTGATCGCCACCATAAGCTAAAAGAGGACTGATGAAAATATTTTGGCTAATTTAACTAACATTGGAAATCCTTAAAACTATAATTTCAAATGTTTTACCAATTGCTAAGGCAAATGAAATATTAGCGTTCAGTAATAACAAAGAAAACTATTTTCCTAGAGGTTTCAGCAGCTGCAAAGATTCACTGCTTGTCAATGGAAATAAAGTCTGCTACTTCAGAAATAATGGTACTTGTATAACTTCAAGAATATTTTAAGAAAAGTATTTTTCCCTCATCATATCACAAATATGTCTTATCTTTCATATAATTGTACTGTCCTTGTTTATTATTAATATCTTGCAGGGATACATATTTTTTTTTTAAATCAGCTCACAGAACTGTTCATAAAAGGAGTTTATATCAACAGGTGAAAGTGAGTTTAATTTGAAGCTCAGCTTTAACAGAATTGATTTTTGACAGGTTTTTTTGGTATGCCCACATCTATTTACATGAAGAAAATATTATTTTAAATCTCTTAGCTTCTCCTTGTATGAGAGATGCTCCAGTCTCTTAATTATCTTTGTGATCCTCAGCTGGACTCATGCCAGTAATTCCATGTCTGTCTTGTACTAGAGAGCCCAGTACTCCAGAAGTGGCCTCACCAATGCTAAGTATATAGGAAGGGTCGGTAAAGGATCAGTAAGGCATTTAATAAAAACTGAACATGTTTTGAGCCTGATCCTTTTAACAAAACTTCAGTAACTTTCTTAACTTAAAAGAAAAAAAGCTGGCAGCTGGCAATATCTCAAAGGGTGTTTTTAATGAGCTGTATTGCTTATGCTATGGGTAACTTCAGAGCAATTTATTTTTCTACCGTAAGTAATCCGTATAAATGGTTGCATTTTACTTACCTCCTCTTGTAGCAACAGGGTGACATCAACAAAACACCTTGTCGTTGTCTGTGTTACCTATAAAAAAACCCAGAAGTTCTGGTATCGAACATTTGCTAGAACCATTTTCATAATCCATCCCGCTTCCACTTCATGTCACACCTGACAGTTTCCCATGAGCAACTGAGAAACTTATTCCGCATAAACTACCGTAAGCTTGATTGCTGCTGTCATGCTGGTCCATGCAAAAAAATTCTCTGCTCACTCTGGAGAGCACAGAGCTTTTGTCTTTGAGGATACGAGGAAATGTTACTGTTGCTGTCACTGTCACTATGGAAGTACGGATGCAATTTAACCGACTGGACAATACTTGAGCTAATACTTAGGATAAATGTGAATTGCTGTTGTTCTGTCTGTTCTGTAAGCTTTGTGTACACACAATGCACAAGTTTCAGATATTGTTCCCTGGATAGCTTGGCTGTGAAGAATATATAGGATAAAATCATCTTTTCTATACCAGATTTTTAAGTGTGCAGGATAATCCTAGGTGTTTTGTTTTAGGCAAACTAGAGATACTCTAGAAATATATTTTAAATTGAAACTTATGTTTAGATTTTTTTATATTTAAATTATGTGTATTTCAGTACAGTTGCCTAAAGCTTGGAACGATCTTTTAAATTTCTTTTATTTTAGTATTGATTAAATGTAAGCTAGTGTTTCTTCTGATAGAGATGGCAGGATTTTATCGAAAACAAGCTTGTTTGGAAAATGAAATATCTTTTAGCACATACAGCTTAGATTCAGTTATCCTGGGAAAGCGAACATATCCAGCTTTTGTCATGTGTTGTCTTTTTTCTTTCTCTGACAACAAACCTGACATTTTCTGCAGCAGCCTTAGTACATGAGATGAGAGAATCTCCATTGAAGTGCTGAAGGAGTCCCTTTTTTGCTTCAAAATTTGCACCTAGTCCTCATCCTGAGATCAGGGAGATCCTCATGTTTCTTTCTAGTTTTATTACACAACTTTGAAACACTTTTTCCGCAGGTAATGTACTCCAGCATCACAGTACATCAAAATCTGTGAAACATTGGAGTGGTCCTTTGTTAAAAGGCTGATAAACCTCGATAGATACTTTCATGCATGCTATCAACTTTTACAGGTGTATTTTACAGTCAGTACTCAGTACAGCTTTGCTATTAAAAATGCTTTTCAAGTGGCAAGCATTTGCTGGTTTTTTATCTGCTAATGAGCTCTCTTTTGTAGCTGCAAGCGAGCTCTCCCAAACCTTTTCTCCAGTTTTCAAGCAATAGTCCCCACCTTCCTCAAATTTGAGTGATGTCACATTTTAAATATTAAATTATGTTCATTATTTTTGTTTGACATGTCTAACTCAGTGTTGTTTGAGAACAGCATACATGTACATTCAACGTTATGGTCCCATATGTTTGTTTCTGAGCTACATGATATGTCCTTATTACAAGTGCTTTTCTTTGGGCCAAATCCTACTCTCTAAGATCTATCAATACTCATAGTGCTGCTTATTTCCCTAATTTATTAACTTCATCCCACCCCTCTGCTTCAAGAAATGGAAGAAAAAACTTATTTCCTATATTTTCACACCAGCCACTATACTACGAAGTAAAAAACATTAAAGTTAGATAAAATGATAGCAGAACTTGCAGGGGTCTTTCTGCATATGTTTTCTAGCTGACAGTAATCAGAAGGTCTGTAGTAAAACTGTCTAATCATCTTTTTGTCAACATTGTCTCCTTCCTATCTGCCTTCCTCCTCCTATTTGAGTGGTAAATATATTAAAGATAACAAGAAATTATTGAAGCTAATCTTTTTTTATTTACTGAAGTTACTGTAAAGCCGGTGTAAGTCTGAAAGCTACTGTAGGATACTACAGCACTTAGGTGGTGTTCTGTTTTCTTTGGATAACTTTTTCTAATTTGTTCAGTACTGTATAAAAGGTGGACACAGTTCTGGAGGCTGTGATATTATAAGCTGTATAATCAGGGAAAACAGTCTTAAGAGTTCCTTGAATGATAAAATGCATCATCTAGTAGATCTGTGTTCTCAGTTTTATGTTACTGCGATGAATCTGTTCTATGGTGGAAGATACTCTTATTTTAGGATTACTTATCACTGTTTTAACAAAGTGGTTTCCTCCACGTCTAATAATGAGATAATGCATTCAGATAAGGTACATGTCCCTTAGAATGTGTTGGTAAACTGATGCACAATTTGGGAAAAAAGCATGAATGCTTCCTTGATGTTTGTGATCAGGGATCAGACTTGCAGCTAAGCAGGTTATTAAGTGTCATTGTAATACATGACCAAGTCTAATGCAGACTCTGTGTATGAGCCACACTTTTAAGAGGGCTGTAAGAGTTTGGTAGAAGATCAGAGAAGAACTACAAGAATTATACAAATTATTCAAAATTTGAAGAAAAAAAAACAACAAACCTGAAACTCTATAACAAGATCCATAAAAAATGCATTTTTTTTTATCCAATTGACAATTGAGTGACTAAATCATAGTCTTTTCCTACATGGAAAGAAGATTTCTGATTCAGGCTGGTTTTTTAGCTGAGAAAAACAACACATTACAGGAACTTAACGCTACCTAAGTTTAGAAAAGCAGCAAAATGACTATTTTGGAATCTAAACAATAATTTGTGAAGTCAATAAGAGGTGACTTAAGAGATTACCCTTTCTGTCATTAAGGGATTTTCTGTCAAGGGATTCTTGTAATCTAATTTAAATGTCTAGAAGTGAGCAACTGAAGTCTGAGCAAATCTCCTTAGGCTCTTTTGGAAAGATAACAAGCACCTTTTCAAAGTTGTTCATCTTATTTAGTTTCATTGTCTATTTTAGGATGGAACTCGAAGTGTATAACAAGGCAAACTGTGCTACATGGAAAAAGGCACAGGAATATCAATGCTTTAAAACATACTAAGATTCTGCTGATTTTTTTTTTTTTAATTCTATGTAAAAGAACTACAAGAAACTTTGCAGCTCATTCATAGCATTTGGAAAGGGTGTTCTGCAGAGTATGCAACACCCAATATTCTTCTATACAATATACTCTAAATGCTTGTAATTTCTCAAAGTAGGTGGCCGTCATGGTTTAGCCCAGCCAGCAGCTAAGCTACCACGCCACCGCTCACTCACTCCTCCCACTCAGTGTGGCAAGGAGAAGAAACTCAGGAGAAAAGGGCAAAACTGGTGGGTTGGGATAAGGACAATTTAATAGAACAGTACAAGAAAAACAAGAAAGGATAATAACTACAATAATACTAGTACAAGAACAATACCAAACGAGTGCTACAACTGCTCACCATGCAGAACCAGGAACTAAGGCCAGGACCCGCAAAGGGAACGCCCCTCTCCCGGCTAACTCCCCCAGTATATACTCTGAGCATGACTCACATGGTATCAAATAGTCCCCTGGCCAGGCTGGGTCCCCTCTCAGCTTCCCGTGAAAAAGTTAACTCTTTACCAGCTAAAACCAGATCATTGGCTTTGGTCAGCAGGAGAACAAGAATCAGAGGGATGGTTTATATATGAGCAGTCCTGGAGGAGTCTGTGCTGTTGTACACAAGCATGCCTTCTCCATTTGTTAGATGAGGTAAACCGACATTGCTTGGATTCCTTTCAAATATTTGCTACTGTATGACAATTTTGAAATACGAGTTACTCTGGGCACTCTTCCTCAAGTCAGAAAACTATTTCAGTCCTTTCCTCCACATCTTCCAGTACATAATGAAAATCATCTCAGTTTCTCTGTCTCTGTACTTGTAGACGTTTAAAGGTAATGCTAGTAATTTATCCTGGCTGCATGATATGTCGGGATGTACAACAGCTGAATGATGACTTGAGAATTGTGTAAGCGTTTAGATGTGTGTTCCTGGAAGGACTAACCATCTGAATTCTTTATAAACCCGGACTTTCACTCTCTAATTTCCTTTTGTTGCCCTCTTGCCAGTAGGTTATAGATCTAGTACTAGAGAAAGTAAATCTACAACGCTAACTGTGCCAGAACAGCAAAGAACAACACATCATCGTTCACGATCTGTATCTCCTCACCGTGGCGACGATCAGGGCAGGACCCGTTCACGTTTACCAAATGTGCCGTTACAGAGGTAGGCATCACAAGTTAGTGAAACACTCGATGATTTCAAGTTTGTATAATGTTGTTATTAATTTTTCTCTTGTTCAGCATTTTTTCACTATTTTAAAACTTCTTTTGTATCTGAATTCATCAGTGTAGTATTTGAACTTAATGTATGCTTTTATTAACCATTCAAGAGCATTCATGGGATGAGTTGTAACTTTGTAAGACTTATCTCTTTTTACTGATACTTTCTCTGTGATTCATCATCTGTGTACCCTAACTAACACATAGGTTTGGAAATGTGTTTTCAGTCAGTGGCTGAATCTTGAATGAAACCACTCAAACATATTTGTAGGGTAATAAGTAGTGGCATGTACAAACTGTATAATCACTATGAATTGAACTAATTTTGAAGTAACAGCAAGCTAAAATTACCAACTGTATTTATAATGTGACATTTTTAATGGAAGAAGTGAAAAATACTTTACAGAATCAGATAGTGATTCATAAACCTCTGTTTTTCACATTTACTGCTTTTAATAGACAAAGTATTAATAGGAGGATCCTTTTTGAGATTCTCATTTGCATGCTTTATGATTCTTTTGAATAGTGCCATAAAGACTGTTTAAGCACACTGTTTTGTTGTGCAGGGCAATAAGCTTCTCGTGCAGTCTCTCATGGAACCTTCAAAATCAGCCATTTTTTACTAGTTTTCCTTTCCTCCAATTTCTAGGAAACATAGTTCTTCAGTTACTGCAAGAGGTTGAAGTGTTACACTAGCAATGTTATTGCCCACTAGCTGTGGTAGTTTACTGAAAATCTACCCTTTTTAGATGAATTTTGTGTACATAATTCTATGCTAGAGTACTGTCCCTATCCATCATTTACGTGTCTGTTTTTTTGGAGTTCCTTCACTGATCACTTAATACCAGACATCTGGTATTAAGATGTCATTTGAAATGATGGTATATTCTGGAAAACCAGCTTCCCCTCCCAGTTGAGAATTCTGATGATCTTACTTTTTCCTTTCCATCCTCCATGCCATATATACTGTTCTTGTGTGTTGAAATGTTGTGTGCTTCTTAAGTCCCTGCATGCACCTCCCTCTGTTACATCAGTTCTCACAGATGAAATTTGGTGGGTCACTCCCCACCAAATCACTTGCTGTTGCATTTCTCAATAATACATCCTTAACAGATAGCAGGATATGGCTGCACGTAAAACAAAGTGTGGCCTTGCCTCATTTATGTTATAGTAGAGGGAATGACAGCTCCTCATTCTGCTTTTGCAAACAATTATATGTGCTCTTGTTGTATCTTTCTGTCTACAAACACGATTCACAGATGAAATGTTTCGTAGTCAATTCCACCCATCCTTTAATTTTATACTTTGAAAAACTAATGCTGCTTGTTCCAATGGCAGTTATTAAACTAAAGAAAGAATCTACCCTTCACGTAGTAGTTTCTTTTCTTGTTCTTTTCCATGTGAAGAGAGAAAATTGCTGTCATGGAGATCAGAGCTCACCTGCGTTTATACAAAGTCATACCTCTTTTGTCTAACACTTAGTTTGAGACTGATAAAATCTGCTGCAGTTTCCCATATCTTATCCCAGAATTTCTTAAAGAATACTTGGAGATACCTGCAAGAAGTTGACAGGCAAAATCAGCCCTATAGAAATCTGACTGTGAATCTACAAATGCATAAAACCTCACATTTCATGTGAGGTATTATCAGTTCTTCTGATATCTCAGAACAGGCTTAGAAAATGCCATTACTGAATCCATCATTGTATACAGAAACAAGCATGTACTTCTAAATATGGTAGAAATGGCTGCTTTCTATACTTAGGGGTGTTTTTTTTTTAAATCTTAAGGTCCAATATATTTTTAGAAGTCATATATTAACAATTTAATGATTATAAACTTCCTTCAATCAACTTGTACTGTAATCCATTAAGCTGTGTTATTTATGAGAAAGCAAGATTATCATACTTATTTCTTGCCTTTCAGGAGTTTAGATGAAATTCATCAAATGCGAAGATCACGTTCTCCAACTAGACACCATGATGCCTCCAGAACTCCAGTTGATTACAGATCCAGAGACATGGATAGTCAGTATTTGTCTGATCAAGAAAGGTACATCGTGAGCCTGAACTCGGAAAAAAGTTTAGAAATGTCTTTGTCGATTTGCCTAATTTTCAAATGTTCAGTAGGAGCTCAACTGATGGTAATGGGGAAAGGAGGAAGTCATCCTTACTGACAAATCTAGTGTCATGGTTAAATTATCTATACCTCTTTTTTGGTACAACTGTGCACTGAGTTGACAGTAATAGCAGGTATCTAGACTAACGGTTCTTGGGTGTTTGTCCTAGAGTATTCTGCTGTTTGTTTCAGGAATGAAGCCTGGAGATTTTTGCTAGACAACCATAAATCTACATGTATGCCCTAGCTATTCTTGTAGCTGAGACAAGATATAAGTTACCTGTTTCAGTTTCCAGCAAAATACCAGGCATGCGTTTCTGCTAGTTGGAAGTTGCATACACTATGATTTGCGTTCCTGTGCTTATAGATTTTGGACATCTATATATGCAGTCTCACAGTATCTTATGTAACATTCTGGTGAACTTGGTGCAGTACCCAAGCATAGCAAAGGTAGTCGCGGTGCATGTAATTAGTAAAACTCTCCAATCTTAGGTACATGGCACGTACACATCTCTCCCTGGAATACATGCAGTGGCTACAAGAGAGTACTTGGTCTCTCCTAGTAGGCATAGTTTTCAGGTATTTAGGAATATATTCTAATAAAATGGAAGAAAGTGAGATTGTCTGATTAGTTTAAAGCTGAAAAAAGTTTAAAAAGATATTTCAGTTCAGTATTTGGGAAACACAATGATGACAGTCACAAAGATTATCAATGTTTGGTGGTTGTTTCTTTTTACTTCAAAAAAAATCGTATAGTTAAACTTTAATGGCAAACTATTACCATTCATATACGACCAAATGTGCTAGTAATATATTTGGAATTTTTTTTTGGTTTTGTTGTTACTATTTTTTATGAGTAAAGATGACAAAATCTTTCCAAATGATCAAGTAGATTCAATATAGAACATACATGTCATAGTGATGTGAAAACATGTAAAGAATAAACCATAAACATCTCTGGAACTCTTTGTCCAGTTTTGAAGCAACATTGACATTGAAAAACAGATGGCTTTTGCAGTTAAACTGGTTCAGTTTTGTATATGATCTTGCCTCTTTTGTTTTTTTAATGTGATAACATACATATGGGAATTAATAAGTTATTTGGAAGATTTAAAAATTCAACTTTATAGGCAAGAAGTATATACAGAATTGTCTAAGTTGTATGGAATTTCCTTTCAGAGGTGAATTCAAATGCTTTTTAAATATAGTAGTCAGATTTATAGTTAAGCTAATTCAAGTAGTCTCCACTTGTTGCAAAAGTTTCATGTTATTAATTATAAGTAGCGATATATTCAAAAGATTCTTGAATATATTTGTTGAATCAATTTCTTATTCAGCAGATCTGAAGAGCAAGAGACATTAAAAAGTAGCTTTTGTCAGTAGAAATAAATATATTAACTGTCTAGAAAATTTTCTTCTAATAAAGCGTCAAACCATGATATAAATGCTGATATATGCATGCATTATGCTTGGAAAGGCTTGCAGTGAGACTTTCTTGGAGATGAGCCGTCAGACCAGAGCCACAGCAGCAATGGGCTGCTGGGTTTCTTCAGAGGAGTAAGACACACTCTTCCATTCTTTTCAACGTTCAGAAAACACTCTTCAGCAGTTTAAAGATCAGACATGAAAGATGTACATGGCTTATTTGCAGGATTTAAAGATGGGTCCATGTACTTACTCTCCTTGAGTAATAATCTTGTCTGCAGTGGTCTACTTTTTCCCATTTGCTTTTTCATCTTTCCCCCAGGTTTCTTTAGTTGTAGAGACTGTTTAACTCTTGTAGGTTTCACTGTCTTTCAGTACATAAGAGCAGCATCATAGGGAAGATCAAAACCAGCTTTTCTTGAAGATTTTCTGTCACATCCAAGGATTTAAGAAAAAAAATCTTTATTTAGTATTACGTATTAGTATCAATAGTAGTGTAAGTATTATGTGTTGTTCATTTACTGAACCCTTCATCTAAACAAGTACATTTGTGTAGATACCTGACATAAACTTGGTTTGAAAGGTGAGTAATTATCCAGTAGTTACATGGCAGAAATTACAGTTACTGATTACATTTGATCATTTTCTCAATGATCTGTTATTGGTCCCAAATTAATATTGAATATTCTGAATAGATCTTTGTAAAATTAGTTATTACAGTCTCTTCCTAAAGCATCTGGTGTGATAAATGTCCAATGGAATTGATTTGTCTGCTTTGCCTTTTATATATATTTGTTTACATAAATACAAATTTATTTGTATTTATAATATTGATATATATAAATCTGTTAGGAAAAGCTTTTCGATGGAAATCCAGCTAAGCAGTATATTTAGCTCCTAATTTAGGATCATCATCCAATTTTCAAGGGCATGGCCCTTTTCATTTTTTTTTAATGTTGCTTTTCTTCCTAAAGAAAATCTGTTAATGTGAGTATTTTAGTCCTCACATTAGAAAACACTCGTTTTAGAATAATAATCTTTATTTTAAATGTCTCCAAACCAGACTTAATTTGTTATAGAACTGTGAGTATCTTCTGTGATGGATTCTTTCACTTTGTTTTTTTTAACTTGAAGATTTCATGGTGGATTTGATATTTTAGATCCCTTTTCTGGATGTATTTTGTTTTACTGTTTGCCATGGGCCAGTTAAAATAGATACTGTTTGACTTAGCAAAGGTAGAGTAGCTATTAACAGAGTGCCCTATGATTTAATGTGACTTTGCATCTACTTCACAACTCTTAAGAAAATGGTGACTTTTTTTCCTAAAACGCTTGTTTATTTTTCATTTGGAAACCTGCATATAAATTCTGTCAGTGCTCTGAGTTTATGAATGGAAATTTTGCTTAAAAAAACCTCAACAAACAATAGTTTAATAGTTTTTGTTGCATCAAAATCAGGCTAGTTGTTCCAGTTGTTCAGATGCAAACTTAAATTTCATATTTGACTCATAAGCCATTATTTCAAGCTGCCCGGTTTAGAATTTTATATAAATATTGCTTATACTGCGTTAATTAAATGGGTCATTTTATAATGGCATGAAGAACAAAACACATTGAAGAACTGCTGCTTTATCTATTTTGTAATCTTTTCTCTCTTTGTCACCATAGTACTTCATATGATTCCCTGCTTCTTTTAAAATAGCATGTTTCCATGAAGTTTAGCTTTAATTTCATATCTACAATAATCAGGAGGTTTGGAGCTTGGTCTTTCTGATTGTGTTGAAGTGCGTAAAACTACAAGATTAATTCAAGGGATATTTCATATCACAGTCATATGTACCATAGGCATAAATATGTATTAATTATACCATCTTGCTGGCTGTAGCATGTGTTTGATTACAGTAAAGGAAAAATAGAATTAGGCGGCTGACTTTTTCAATTGGAAATAATAAGAAACAAAAAGTCTGATGGCTGATTAGCAATTTTTTTGTTTCTTTAGGATTGCATTACAAAATACTGTCAAGAGCTATAAGTCAGAATTTATATTTGTCCAAAAATAATATTCTCAGTGAACTTATATTT